GGGAGGGAGGGGAAAAATGAGGACCTAATGCCGGGGGCTTAAGTGGAGAGGAAATGTTTTGAGAATGATGAGGTCAATGAATGTGCAAATGCGCTTTACACAATTGATGTATGTATGGATTGTGATAAGAGTTGTATGAGCCCCTAATAAAATGATTAATTAAAAAAAAGAATTGTAAAAGAGCCTTTTAATTCTCTGTCTCTTTTAATAAAGAACACAAATTAAACTATTCATCCCAATAAAATTATATCTTTTATGGTTGTTTATGTTGAATTATAAGCACTAGTCAAACTTTGTAGAACATGATCCAAAACAGAAATATGATTTCAGGAAAAACAGTGGTAGGCAAGTTTAATTGACAACAGTGGCCCACATAGAACCTAGAAAGCTGAATGACACCTAGGAAGATTTGTCACTTCCACTGATGGGAATTTGTCATTATTTTGCTTGTTTCCATTTGTTTGGTTGGTTTTTCTTGAAATGAGGCTTAAAAAGAGATTATCCTTCCTTTGTAATAATACATTTTATATATATTGGTAAACTACATATTCAAAATAACACACACATACACATATTTCATAATCCTGAATTTAAGAAAACATAATAATGATATTGGAACCCATATCAGAGTTCATTAAGGATAAATAATCTCCTTGCCATTAATGTCTCCTCGTCTGAAACCTTCGATCTGAACTCAATTAATAAATTTTACTTCTAAATTAAGCTGTCTCAATTTATATCAAATTTATATCAAAGTAAAATATCACTGTTCAATTATTTATATCATAATGTTACAAATGTCTTTTATAGCTTTTTAAATTCCTATAGAGTGTCTAGGTTAACCCAAGTGAAAGACAGAAAATATTATTTTAAAAATAATTTCTTAACATATTTTTCTCCTGAAACCCCTCACTTTATTTGTTCAAAGATTTCAAACAGCTTTCCCTGCTTCAAACCCTGAAATACTTCTGTGTTTTTCAAAAGTCACACTTCATAAAGGGCATTTATTCTATAGAATTAAAGTTTACTGAGTAATAAATACAACTTTATGTGTTACAAACTGTCAAAATCCCTGAATGTCAACATTACAACGATTAGCTTGTCATGATTTTTTTTCTTTTTTGCTGCTTTGGGAAAAAAAGAAAAAGAATACACACAGAGAGTATGAGAGCAATTAAGTAAAGGCAAACTCACCTTTGAGATTCTTCATCTTTGCATATTTGTCACAAATAACCATTTAAATATCCCTTAGGTTAATATTTTCTGACTCAATGCAAAAGCACAGAAACAAAAAAACTAACATGTCCATGAATAATAGGAGGCCACACAGATTGGAGCATCTTATTTATACCAAATTTTATTTTCAAATAACCATTAAAGGTATCCAGTTGCTCTTAGGATTAATTTAAAAGATCATGCAAGATGTAAACATGAAGTTCCAAAGGGCAAGATCATTCCTGACAATTCTAATATGTTAGGGGAAAGGACGTACACAGAAATGCACACCAGAACTTTCTACATATGGCTAGTACCTGCATCTTCCTTCTGGCCGGTTCCCATCATTTAAGCACAACAAGGTAGCATGTAGTGCAAAGAAGCAAAAATTAATAATCCAAGGGGATAAAATTTGATAGGGTGTAAGATTAGGGAAGGGTTACTATTGAACTGGAGAGTGACATTAGAGTAAAAAAAACCAGCATCCATTTTGCAACACAATTAAAAATGAAATTCAGTTGTAATGATTAGATTGCTACTTACATCATAGTCATACACTTTTCCTAGAGTACCATGCACATTCTGAACTTTTTTCTTTTTTTTTTCTTTTGCTATGGCAACAGACAAAATGGAAATCTTCCCAACAGGTATTAAAAAGATTAAAACATTAACCTAGAGTTATCATTTATTTTGAAAATCTGGTGAACAGTCCTGTTATTATGAAAATAAAAATGGTAGAATAGGCTAGGTGTCATGAAAATGCTTTACAATGAACAGCCCACCATGAAGAAAACAATTCTCTATTTTTTATGTTGACTGTAAAACAAAGTTGGTTCTCAATTACTGAAAATATAAAATAGACCCCAAAAGTCGATCTACCTCTATGTACATTTTCCAAGGCAATCCAATGCGATTTCTCAAATTAGGATCAAGTCCTAATGTCTTTATTTTACTCTGGTGTCTAAACAGCATAAAATGTAAGAGAATGCACAATCTCCCTGCAAGTTAATCCATGACTGACTATAACCTAGTTGGAAGCTATGAGCAAAACTCTATGCAAAATTGGTAGGCAGTGGATGGCATGACTGCAGATCTTCCATGCCCACTTCTAAGACTCACCACCATGATACTTCTTACAGAGAATGGGATGGCATTTATGTGTCGCTTATTAAATGCTTTGACCGAAGAAAGGTTATTGTAAAAGAACATGCAGTTAGATTGTTAAACTGTGTTCCAAAGGGGTTTTGTTCAGTAAAGCTATATACTTTTTAGATGACAAGGGGAAAAAAATCCACCTAGGTTTCAAAAGTGTTCCCTTTGAGCCCATTTTTATGGAGTGTTATCCTTATTTATGTATAGAAGACCTACCCTGTATGTACAGTAAGTCGGTATCAACCAAAGCGATCAGACACTTGATCTTGGGCACATACAGGAAACGTGTATGTGTGGTGTGTGTGTGCCCCAGATCAATTTGCCAGGAGTTAGACCAGCCCAGGCATTTGGGAGGTAGAAGCTGTTCCTAACTTAGAAGCCCGCCTTCCTTGCCAAACAATGAGTGTGCAGTTGCCTACCCTCCAAAGGCCGCGGTGCATCACGGGAAAGCATGCGCGACTTTCTAACGATGCACCACATGCCTTTTTTCCTTCCCCACTCATATAATTAGTGCTGCTTGCTTTTACTTTTTTTAAATGTGCCTGTTTCAAATTTGTATTATTTTTTTCAGATGTCTAATTTCAGTTATGTTCTCTCCCCCTTTGGTCTTTTCCCACATTTCACATACCAGACAAATATTTAAAGGTCTGTAAAACCAGGCGAAGTTCCAAAATATTTCCAAACCAAATTACCATAGGTGACAGAACAGGGAAAGAAGGCGAAGCGGTAGGACAGAGATTGGAACAAACCGGCTGGAAATGTATTGGAAAATCTATTTAAATTGCTATAGCCGCGGATGAGGTTTCAATGAGGCGTAAACACTCAAGTTACTGACAAAACCAGCCTGTTACGCGTGATCACGCAAGAGTCTGCTTGTCGCGGGGCATTGCGCGTGCTGTATTAGTCGTAGTAGTAAGCTGCTTGCTCTGTTTTGTATTTTTTTTTTCTTTTAGTATTCAGGAAGTGAAAGCATTTAAGAAAACATTCAAAATTCTGAGATTACATGTAAGTGTAATATTTAATGTCTATCATTCATAAAAGTTACATCATTTACATAGGGTTCATTTGTATATAATTAAAAACTTCATCATAATGAAAAAATTTTCCTAGAAAGTATTTTCTAGGTTATTTGTTTAACAGATGCTTTGGATATACAGCTAAATAGGAAGAGTTTAAAAAATTATTCAGATATTCCCTCTAACAATTAACAATCTCATTCCTAAATACTTGCTTTTCTTTCCACTTGCTCCTGTGTTTGTAGCATCACATGTAACTTGAACTATGCAGAGATCAACCTTTTCAGAGTTCAAAATATATCTGTATACTTCAATAAATGTGCTCATTGCATAGCTAACATGTATGTAAACTGATAGAGGACCCATCAATTTTACCCTACTGATCTAAAATGGTTGCTAAATCTTTCATGACAATTTATTCTGAGGTTTACTTTTGTAGCAATTTGGGGGTTTTGTTGTTGTATTTTTAATACATGTGTCAACTGAACACAAGAAATTAAAATAAGTCATGGAAAGCTAAAAACCTAGTAAGTAATTTTAACTTAAACTACCAGAAAGTAACTTCATTATGTGAAGTTTGTGTTTGTGTTTTCTCCTAAGTAGAACCAGCTGAAAATGTACTGTGCTGCATATTAAGGCAGCGTTCAAAATTATGTTCAACAGTGTGTGTTTAACATAAAGTTAACTATGTTTGCATCAAATAAAATGTTTATTAATGAAAGCTATCATACAAGAAACAGCAAAGATAAGCCATCATACAGAGATGTACACTAGAGGTGACAGATGTAAAAGTGCATGCAGAGGTTTTGTTTAAAAAAGAAATAATAAACAATAATACTAAAATTACTGGGTTTTAATCCTTATGCTCTTAAATGCGCGATAGCTCTTCTTTGAATTTACAATTGAAAAATGCCATTAACAGAGGGGACTAGAACACATCAGCAAGCATGTGGGATGGAGGTTTGGGGACTTTATTTTACAACTATTTGTGCTTGACAAGTGTGCGGAATTTTTCTCAATAAGCTTCTTCAAATATGGGTGTGCATTTCATCGCCAGGGTGCTCTGATTTATACATGATTCATTTGTCTTGAACCACATAATTTTAGCCTTCGTTTGTGTTAGACACCGTAAAGAACAAAAGTTGTCATTTGTTAACATTCAGTAAATGACATTTAAGTCTCTCTCTCTTTCTCTCTCTCTCTCTCTCTTGTTTGTTTTGGTTTTGTATTTTTGTTTTTGGCTCAATAGATTTTTTTTAATGTATGATTAGCATAACCTAATATTCTCTTTGTCTTCACTGCAGTGGATTTCCGATCAAACTTTTCCCCTTCTTTTAATACTTTAGGGAATTTTCAAACGTCGGGATGTTTGGCTGTAATGCCCCAAGATTTGTTCTCCCTGAAAAAAATCATAGTGACAATTTATTAACTACAGAGCAACTTGGCTTTTGGGGGTCTGCAATTTCTATTTAGATTTACAAATATCCACTTGTGCTCAATAGACCTAACATTAAATCTTAATCATATTTAAGATTTCCTTTCATGCAATTACTTTATCTGCCAATTATCTTTTCTTTTTAATTCTAAGAATTGAACTGAGTCAAATCAGTGGGGCATTACTTTAATTGTAAGTAAATATATTTTAAAGGTCATTCTAGGTTTAACTACATTCTCGATGCAATGGTGTGTACATTTGATATGAATCAGAAGTTTGGAAATCTAAAATCTATTTGTATGTCTATTTTAAAATTGTCTGTATTACCATTTTAATATCTTTTACATATAGATATTGGATATACACTAATACAGTTAAACCTGAAATGAAACTGATGGAAAATAAAACTCCTTAGATTCAAAATGGTTTATTCACACAAATTTAATAGGATATATCACAATAGTTTGGTCCATAAATATTTAGGGGAAATAGTTTCTATACAATGCATTTATCAATAAACAAAGAAACATGGACAATTTTGCTAGACCACTTACTGTACTATAAACACGAAGCTCAATAGATAAGATTATTGAATTTATCAACTATTTTTGAAAGAGTGCACAACTGCTTTCTATGACATGTTTGTCCCCTCTAACAGGATACACCATAAAAAGAGTTTCAGAAATAAGAGGTAAAACAGTACAAAACTAGTGAGGTGTCAAAAGGGCTTAAAACAGTTAATTTAACAAACAACACATAGATCCTGATTTTTCACAAACTTACTTCCAAGTTATATCATAAGGCACATAGGAGAACTGAGTTATAATTAGTCTACTTAATAAAGTAGATCTATAGTACCATACATTGTTCTGTCAAAGAACAAAATTTATAAGTATCAATATTTTACCTGTAAAAGTGTATTAATAAGATCTCAGCCTTACCAAGGTTGTTTGGTCTGGTTAGTGGTAAATGCCCAAAATGTAATAGAAATATGAAAAGTCAAGATTTAAGCTCCATATAAGATGATAACCACACTTGCTAAATATAGAATGGCAATCACACCTTTCTTCTGTTACAGTGTTAACTTCTCTTCCATCGTCTTTTTTTAAAAAATAAGCTACTTTCTGTGCTAATTTTCTAAAGACCCTGAGCAAAAGTTACAATAATGCACTTCAATGTGGGCAGTGAACTGTCAATATTTAACCACACATTTATACAGCCAGAAGGACACCTTTAAAATCTATTAAATAGCCACTTCGACCACCAAAGGAGATTTAAGGGGTCCCCAAAGTGGAGAATATGTGCAAAGTTATTCTTAACAATCCACTAAAGCAAGACATATATCTTGACTTCTTTTTTTTTTTAATATTCTTTTAGGAAATCCACAATCTAATTGGTATTTAACTACAACAGAAGCATATAGATGAACATTCACCACTGCCCAGACCAGTAAGATTTTTAGCTTAAATTAAAAGGGGGAAACAAATGCTACTGTAAAGAAGGAAATATATTCAGATCAGCACCCACAAGGCTTCTGAGTTTATCTAATAACCTCAAATCTCAAGTGCCAGATTTTTTTTCTTTAATACATATATCAACCTGTGACAAAGTAAAACAAAGCAAACACCAAACCAAAGAATTGTCATTGTTGATATTAGTCTACTAAGCTGTTTGTTTTTTAAAACGCAATTCATATAGAATGGCAGATACAATCTTATGGTAGGTACATCAGAAGCCAATCAATAGAGTTACTCGGGAAATTAAGCCAAATTTTTTAACTTCTTAAAAAATTGTATTTTGCTTATTTCCATTTTCCTGGGATCATACAAATTTACAGAGAATGGTTTCACAATGATCATGTTTAGCTTCCAGAGTTGAAAGTATAGAATTTCAATTTATATGTGGAATTTTCATGGATACATGGGAAGTTTTTGAAATTATTTTTAAAATTTTGAAAAGCAACTAAATAAAATGTTTTGTTGAGGTTCACATTGCTAAAGTAGGAAAAGTCACATTCCTGGAATAGATTTCTCACCCACTTAATCATTATTTGTTAAAATTGTTTTATTAGTACTTTTGTGTAATCATTCTCCCCATTTGAATCAACAATGCATATAAGAGTTGGGAATCAGCCAAAGCATTTTACCTTTCAATTATTTTAAAATGTGAAGTTTGCAAAATCCCATAAGCATACATACAATTAATTGCAAGGTTTAAAAAAATGTTTAATTATGATTCTTTAGTAACCTAATCATTTAAATGATTATTGGCCCATTAAAATACAACTTTTTTCGTTTTCCACCGAGATTCTGGAAATAAGTAACAATACAATTTTAAGAGGCACTTAATAGAATAATTCAAAAACTCCCCTTACCGACTGAAAGAACTAATTAATTAAAGAAGAAAAAAAATCCAAATACAATTTGCAGACAAAATACGTTCACTGAAAGGAGACGATACTGTAAACTCATTTGCCAAGTGGCTGCAGTTGCTACACACAGAGCTGTTTTGGTTTTTTTTTGTGGTTGTTGTTGTTTTCATTTCCCAAATATCTCATGGGTTAAAAAAAAAAGGTCTTGTAAATAATAAAATAATAATTATTAGAATAATAATAAAAAGAAGAGGAAGGATTAAGAGGGGGGGAAATCCAATGTTAGAAAAGGTTCGTTAAGGTAGTTTGTGAGGGGCTTCCGGATTCGTGGCTGTCCATGTTAGAGGTCACGGCTGTCACTACAGTGATAGTGGGATTGGTCAGGTCTGTTAAAGTGGTCGCAGTGCCGGGTGGAGTGAGAGCGCCGCTGTCTGCTGAGGGCGGGGCCGGGAGCGACGTGCCGTCAGCTTTATCAACACCCCCATTCTCCTGCCGCAAAAGGTTCCTTCTGAATTTGGCTCGTGCGTTTTGGAACCAAACCTGCAAACCAATCCCAATTCATTTCTTTACCGATGTTTGTTTTTAGACTTCTCTCTCTTCCTTTTCCCTTTCCCTTTTCCTTTTTTTCTCTCTCTTTAGTGTTGATGTCTCCTTTGAACTAAACGATTTTTTCTTTTTTTCTTGGGAGAAAGGGGCCTTTTTTTTTTTTTTTTTTGCTTTTTACTGAAGTAATGTTATTAATTTATTCTCTCTCTCTCCTTCTCTCTCTTGCATATATTCCACCTCCCAGGATTAACAAGGGCCACCTCGGACAACTGGTGCCCACACAGAAATGCCACAGAAAGGAAGGCACAGAGATAAAGGGGTAATTAAAAGAAGACTTCCCAAAAAATGTGGCAAGATTCCATCCCCTTTTAAACCTATTTTTTTCACAAATATTTGCAGCCAAGGCCGTCCTACAACCCTGCTTCCCCAGTTGTTCTTTTGAGAAGGGGGGAAAGCAGTCTCTCAGAGAGTCACTCATGAAGTAAACCTCACTGAGACAGACTTTGGGGCTCGTGAGTTTGACGCACAGGAATTATTCTTTGAATAAGAAAAATGCTTCTGGGGCCACAGATCACTGTTAGTCCCCTAAACCGGTTCGCTGAATTAAAAGGCTTATTCAATACTCCTGAAAAATGGGAGAGGATTACAGGTGACTGGCAGCATCCTCCTTCCATTTCATGACTTGTATCTGGTTATGGAGTCATCCTGATGCAGGACGCATCTAGGGAAGCAAGCAGGCCGCAGGGCTCACTCCTGCTAGTCCCCTTTTAAGCTTACTGTGTTGGGACCCATAACGTACAAAAGGAAAACTACGTACTTGCTCCCGTGGGTTGCTGACACACTAGCCATACGTCTAGCTTTTCGGGATGGAAAAAGCGGGGGTATCATCTGAATTTGGAAGGTCATAACATGTGAGTGAGACTGTCCAGAATGTTGCTGAAGACAGCAAGTCTCTGCACTGAACCTAATGTCAATGTAAATCTCTGGAGCCACCGCTTGTACAAATAACATCCCCAATATTTTACAGAGCCGTGATGCAAACTGTATGCTGGCTTTGGTGGCTCTATCTCCCCAGCTGTAGAGAAAATGTGCTGCATTTCAAAAATCCCTGGGTCTCTCTTTGAGCACCCCCTGGCGATCCCCCACAATATCTCGGTGCACCTTCCAGGGAGACAACTAGGATATACTAACGAGGAGCAGTGCAGGAAACATTCACGTCACTCTATTTTCACTGGCACGGGGAAGAGAGATGTATCACAGCCAATGATGGAGGAGTCTTACCTGCAAAACTCTTTTGGTCAGGCCTGTTTTCTGGGCAAGCTGCTTGAGATCCTTGGCATCTGGGTTGTGGTTGATGGCAAAGTAGGATTTCATGGTCCGGAGCTGGTGGTGCTTGAAGGAGGTCCTCATGCGCTTCGTTTTCTGAGAGGGTGGGTAAGGCTGCTGATCCCGGTCCAAGTGATCTGCCTCATTCTCGTTACAACCTGTTGTAAGTGCCCACACACATTCCTTCATTAGCTGGAACGAACGGTGGCAGGGCCCAGGGCAATGCTGGCATCCTAAAGCAGCAGTGTACACGGCTCTCTGTTCAGTTATGAGCACGGCTCGGCAAAAGAAGGAGGTTATTTGCCAAAGCCTGCCAAACTGGCCTATTTCTGTGGACACCATCATAGCTTACGTAATAGAAAACTAATAGAGACCTAGTCAGAGTCAGCCCCTGGCAGATCCCCTCTAGCCACAGGCCAGGATCTCCAGCAGCCTCACTCTTCGGCAGAGATCATTTAATCTTGATTAATGCGTATGAACTTGATACTTTGTCAGTTAACCTCCCTCTTGACCCCACCTGAATTTGTTCTCTTGCTTGTTCCATGACCAAGATTTCTTCCCTGACTTTCAAAATATTGATGGCGGTCTTTTCTCTCTTATTCATTATTTGTATTTTTATATTATTATTACTTTATCCTTACCACACTCTGTTGTTGTTTTTTTAATCCTTTCTGTTGGTTTACCAGTTTGTGAAGCACAGAAGGAGTGGATGCATGGAGACAATAACTGATGTAATGATTTGTAGGGGATGTGGAGGGGAGGACAGGAAAGGTGAGGGGACTTGGGGAGTAGACAGTGAATTCTGGAAGGGGGAGGGAGCACTAGAACTGACTATGATTACACAACTTGTTTTAAAATTAATTTAACCATGGTGGCGGGAGGGGGCAGGAGAAAGAAAATGTTCTAAAATTGATTGTGGTAATGATGGTACAATCTTCTTGATATATTGAACTATTGAATTATATTATATATGGAGTAGGTGCCAAGAAGACTATTTTTAAAAAGAATAATAATTGATATGCCATCTTATCTGCTCCATGGTTGCTAGAAACCCTTGAGAAGATAGAGAAGTCTGTAAGTAATAGAGGGGATGGGAGAGGAGGCCTGGTTGCCCAATGCATAACAGTAGCAAAATGACAGTGATGAAGTAGCAACAGAAATAATTTTATGGTTGGGGGTCACCACCAGATGAGGAACTGTATGAAAGGGTCACTGCATTAGGAAAGCTGAGATTCACTGTGCTAACTGGAGGCCAGGTGGTTTGAACCTACCAGTCACTGTATGGGAGAAAAGACCTGGCAATCCGCTCCTGTAAAGATTGCAGGAGTTCTGCTACCATCCACTGAGTTAGGATCGACTCCAAGGCACGCAAGTAGAGAGAAAAAGGGTCCCAGGTGGCACAAACCATTAAGCACTAAACTACTTGCTAAGAGGCGCACAGTCCAACCCTATCCTGAGGTGCTACCAGAGTATCACAGCCTTGGAAAACTGAGAAGCGCACTTCTCCTGTGACACACCTAGGCTTGTCGTGAGTTCGAATCAGCTCAGTTGGCGATGACGAACACTGAAGTGGGCATCAAACAATATGGGGGTGAAAAGATACTACCTTCTCTACAAATTCATCTCATACCAGTCTTTCGCCCAGTGTGCCCTTGGAAACCCGCGCACACGGTTGGGAGGGATTCCTCTTTCTGTCTCCGTGAAATGAGACGGGCCACCTGCAGGCATTCCTTTTTGTCAGGAGAGATAGTGACAAACAAGCCTGTCTGGTGTCTCCAATCTGGAAGTTTCTGCAAGTCTACTAATTAATCAGCTCTGAGTTGCAGCCTTTTTTTTTTTTCCTTTTCTAAATTACTAGAGCATCTTCGAGGAGGACAAAGTTTGAAAAGTCATTCCAAAAGGGGCAGAGGGGATATTCCATCTACCAGTGCTCCCACACATATCTAGGAAAAAAAGAAGTTTGCAGGATACAACTTATTCCTTATTTCTAGTGAACTTAAAATGTTCAGGTTCGCAGATTTCTTATGTAAGGTAAGCATATAATTTCCTAGGGCTTTTTACCCTAACTGTTTAATATAAGGACTATACCAGGAAGAAAACATCTTTCCCGAGGAGTTATTTTTATAAATATTTCTGAAAGAGAATAAACTCAGACTTCTCTCCCCTCAGTTCATGCCTGAAGCGCTCTCCTAGCCACTGAGGGTGTTTGTGTCTAGGCTCAGATCTGGGCCCCTTTTGCTCTGGGTATGTATGCTTGGGATGGAGTCCCACCCCTGGTGGCAGGCTGGGGGCAACCCTGCAGAGAGAGTGGTATTGCGTTCCTCTAGCAAAGCCCTTCTCAGCCCTGGGAACAGAACAACCCAGCCTTTGAAACCAGCCTGAAAGTCATTATCCCCTGGATGTAAAGCTGCACATTTGAAAGGTCATTTCCAACAACCTACTGGCTCTGCATAGGAAATAAGATTTGTAAAATAAAAATATTTTCCTAAATATTTATTGGGTCAGTCAACTGTACAACTTAAAGGGCACAGACATTTATTTTCCTTTTAAAGCCTGATTTCAGATATTTACCTGAGATTTATTTAGATTTGCTCATCCTGCGTTTTATTTATTTATTTATTTCGCTGTATTGTAATGGAATACCTAAAACCAGGCTGATCACCCTGGATAGGCGTGGGAAGGTAAGAACCCTGAATCTTGAATAAAAGTATGGTCCTACTCAATATCACCTCTTGAACTCTGCTTACTAATATGGTAGCTGCTTGCTTTCCTGTTTAGAATTACCTTTTTAAAATGTCTTCAGTACGTCAGTGGAGAGAAACACAAGTTTTGCCATCATCAACCCATCTAACAAGACATTCTCCCTAATACAGCACAGGGAGGCACAGACTCATGTCTCATTGGTTTAGACTCATATTGCCATAGGATACATGAGAATAAGGAGGAGAGTGAGCTTGCCCAAAAAGCAGGTAGCTCATCGAAAGAATGGACTGTATCATATTCCCTTTTGGACCCTTTGAACCTAGCAAAGCCAAGAAACTCTATCCAGTTGAGATTTTTGAAACTTTGTTGATCAATAAAACAAGAGAATATGATTCCAAAGTCAAATCCACATGAAATAGAGTCCAAGTCAGATGAATCCATTCAAAGGTTGGGCACAGACTTTGACACTCCATCCAAAAGGGAAGCATAAGCCCAGAGATCACAGGAAGAAGGTATTTTACATTTTACCTTATTTCTGCCCAAGGAGGCTGTGTCAGGTCCAGCGAGTCTATACAATTGCACTTTCCTATTCTCAGATGGATGAAATAACATCTTAGGACCCACTATAAAAATACACTTATCTCCAGGAAACTGGGCCATGCTTCACAGCCAGATTATAAATGTGCCCACAACAAAATGGTCCAAGTGGCACACCTCAGTCCCTGGAGGTGTCTTCAAATAAGAGTTCATTCCTATGCTGTGCCAGTACCAGGTAACTTTCCCTAAACAGCACATCAAAATTAATCTTACACTTGGGATAGAAGATGTAAGGTGTGGTGCTTACATAATGCCCTGATCCATCCCTATTCCCCAGGTAAAATTTCTGTGAAATAAATATGGTTCCTAACCTAACTATATAATAATAAGTTTTTAAAATTCAAGTTTACAAAAGGTAATTACAGAAATGTTTCATAGAGCTGTTTCCCTAGATATATATTCTATCTCCATTATCATTGACTACGAACTCTGCCAAGTATATTAGTGCATTAAACAAAGTGATGGGGCTTGTTTATACATAAAATGCAATCCAGCGTGTATGGAGGTGAAGTTATCTCCTTATTAAACAGATAGTATGGCATACCATTTTCCTGTGACTGCGTTATAGCTTACAGTATGCAACTTAATAGAGCAATCAATTTCTTCTTCACAGCTACTAGTGCGTTATCCTAAATTACTTATGTTTAACTACCAGGACATTCTGTAAACTTGCAGCTGAGACCCCGAGGTCTACTTTTGTAACCAAAGGGTTTTTTCCCCTGAATTATGAGATGAAATGCTAACTCTCTTAAAACTGCCTTAAGCGTCCATCTATATGTGTGCATCCAGCCTTATAAAGTTAATGAGAAGATCGAAATACTCTATTTTCCAATCATTTTGAACTGCTCTCCCCTCTAACGTGATTTTTCTGCTCTGAAAGGGTGTGACCTTCTGAGAGCGTATGGGTCCCTGAGAGACCGCTAGGGGTCAGTGCCAGGCTAGCTATTTAACAGCTGTAACGCTCTTTTAAAGTTTGGGTAGCTAGGAGGAACCCAAGGGAAGGAGATTTTGAGAAGAGGTCAAACATTAGCTGCTAAATAAATGCTGAGTTGCCCAGGCAAGGACTGCCTATCTTAGAACAATATTTTCTTCCCACGTCTGGAGGGCTTTCTTTCAATTCAAGATTCTAGGTTAGCTTTCCATGTCTCTTAAGGTGTCTGTCTGATTAATGGCACAAAGAGGTTTAAACTACTTTAAGAATTTCCATTACAAGGCATTGAATGATATTTGCTAAGTTTCACCTCTTCTCTGACAATCTTGGAATCAGAAACATATTTTATGTACATGTTTCTGAAAATGCATTAATGCATAAATTCTCATTGTTTTCCTAGTATCAAAGTTACCGTTCATGAAACTAGCTTACATTTAAGCAGAACTGGCAATATACGACCCAAGAAAGTCTAAAATAATGAGCTAGAACTGTGGGGTCCAGTTTATTTTTTGAAGCTTTACCATGTTTTTAATTCACTGACAGGCTTCTTTTGCTAGCCTTGTAAGAAACTGGCAGTTGGTTAGTAAACACTTTTTAAAATGCTAAGTTGATTTCTAGGTGGCATCTTTAAACTGATCCTCCAGCTTGTTTTCATCTGACTTAAAAGAAATGTCTCCTATTCTCTAGTATCTCCAGAGAGCCTGCAGAAAGGATGGTGTGGATGTCAATAAAGAGGTATCCCCCTCTGCAGTGATGTAGAGGTACAAACTCTCCGTGAATTAGACAGTGTCTACTTGCCAATATTACCTGGTTGTGGCACTCATTTGCAAACTAAAGAGGGACGGAGCTTGGAGACAGATTTCTATTCTGAGAGAATTTTAAGTGCATAGTCTCTAGTTCTCTTCAGAGAAGTAGAAGAAGCTGGATTTTCTTTCCAATATAAAATAGGATCTGAGGAGAAATCAAATTTAGCTAATTTGATGAACTGAATAAGGCGGAAAAAGCCAGGCTTGCCCTTCTTTGGTTAAAAATCTCCACGCAGAGGGTGGGGGAGAGGGGGGAAAAGAGGAGCTGATACCAAGGGCTCAAGTAGAAAGAAAATGTTTTGGAAATGATCATGGCAACATATGTACAAATGTACTGAATATAATTGAATATAGATTGCTATAAGAGCTGTAAGAGACCCCAATAAAATGATTTCTTAAAAAAATTTTAATCTCCACCCATTCTGGGCACTCCCTCTCCAAAGAGCTCACTGGTTGTGTCTCCTTGGGTCATTGTTTCTCATAGTCTTGCTCTCTCTCTCCATGTTCTCTCTCTTTCTCCTCTGCTCCCAATTCTGTTCCCCCACCCCCACCAAAAAAGAAAAACCTAAAGCCCTAGAGAGTGACTCAAGATTCCAACGTCATCTTCTATTAAAAAAGAACAAGTACTGCCCTGCCTGTCCTTCCTGTCCGGAAGACCACATATCAAAGGAGATGAAATAAACGTGCTGAGTGAGCGAAGTGGCCCCAACCAAAGCCCCCTGATGTAGCTCAACCGGGAAGAGGGCAAGGGCATGGCCCACAGCTGGAGGTTGGCAAAACCCCAGGCTGGGCCCGCTGCCCTGATGCAAACTGATCTGGTGGGGCTCTATATCTATCAGCTCTCTTCTCAATATGTAGGACCCTCTAGAGAGGGCTTGCAAGGGGGGTCAGGGCATCAGGAGAGAGGAGAGTGCTACTTTCTGGGCTCAGTGTCTGCTGCTACACCTGCACCACCCTGTGAATCTGCTCTTCAGCTAGATCTGGAGGGACTGGGGACAGGGCAGGAGAGAACCACTACTCCTGCTTGGCATCCTCTGAAAACTCCCAACTCAGCACTGGACTTTTAGTACTGACTTGTGCACATTGGCTATGTGACTTTGAGCGAGTCGCTCCTCTTGTTGGGCACCTTTACTGTTGATGCACCAACCAGATGGCAGGTACTGGGAGGTGCCACTGGGAAGTGGAAGAGAAAAACAGGTAAGACTCATGCTCTGAGGTGCACTTGCTTTGGCTAGGACAATAAGAATGCCACACCAGGTCCCCAAAGTCCCTTCCTCAACAGTCAAATGGTCTGTCCTTGTCTCAGACTCCTACTTGCTGGGGTTTCCAGCCAGAGCAGCTTGGCCAGCCCTTTCTCAAAAAATTAACCAGAGTATTCAAGACCCTCTTCCCAGTGTCCAGGATTCAAAAGAGAAGCTTGGGTCCTTCCTGCACAGAGATAGGTTATATTAGCAGGGCTCATTCTCATTTTCACTTCTGCCAGCCTAACAAACAAACAAATACCAGTGTAGCAAGTAGGGGTCTAGGCTTTCTACCAGTCATACTCAGAGTGGGAGAGATTGATACCATGGTGAGTGTATCCCCCAATGCAATCAAGAAACTGGGCTCTCCAGCCAGGTGCCTGTATTGTGTTTTTAATTAAGAGAGATAGCTGGTGGAAGACAGAAGAGCAGTGTGAACCACACCAGGAAGCCTTCCCAGTGAGCCTGACCTGGTGACTCTCCCAGTCTGTCTGGGGGTTTGGAGGGTCTACCACACAGGGAAGAGCCAGCTAGATGAGGGCCCTGACCTCTGCTAAGCACAGCACAGCTCAGCTGTGGAGAGGGATTTCCAAACCTCCAGCTTGTCACCAAGATCAGGGCATCCGTTTTTTCAACACTCTTGCCAACTGTGTTTCTGATTAACTCTGGGCTGGTCACCACAGCCTCCTCACTGGAAGCAAGCTGGGACGGGCTCTTAAGACTTTTTTTTCCTTCTCTCTCCCCTAATATTTAGGAAAACCTCCTTCAGGAGCTATAATTTGGCTTCCACAAAGGAATTGCCCCGGGGCAATTTTGCTCCAACTGGGAGCCAGAAACTAATGGGCTCATTAACTAATAGGCAGCCAGGATTTGGCTCAGCCTGTTTGGGGGCGGTCACTGAAACCCCATGGTTGTGGATGTGTTCTTTGTTCGTTGTTGTTGTTGTTTGGGGAGTTTCTGCTTGTTGTTTTGTTTTAGGGTTTGCTTTGTTGCCTTCTCTTTTGTTTCGCTCTTTTGCCAAATAAAGGTCTTTCTCTCTCCTCGGTCCCTTCCTTTTGAGTGAATGGGAGTTGTACTGAGAAAAGGCAATGTTGGGCTAAGTCCCCTCTTGGAGCCAGATCTAGGATGGGGAAATAACTCCGGGTCCTCCTCAGGGATGCTGGAGCCCCAGGCTGCGGGCTGCTGGGGGTGGGGGTGGGGGATTGAGGAAGGGACCCACCTGAGTTGTAATTGACGATGTCCACTCCCAGCGCGGGGCTCTTCCGCTTCCTGGGCCGCCCTTTCTGCACGGTGCCTGTGCCATTGAAGTAAGGCAAGGCCAAGCCTCCGCTCTTGGCCGCCAGCTCTGTGTAGCTCAACTGCGGAGGATACTCCCCTTGCAAGAGGGTCTCGAAGTGGGCACGGCAGTACACTAGGCTTTCCTTCATGCCGAAATGGTCGCCTGTGGTCAGAGTCTTGTTGCAGGTGGAGCAGGTGAAGCAGCTCAGGTGGTAGACGGAGTCGCGGGCACGCATGACCATCTCGGAGGCAGAAATGCCAAGGTGGCAGCGGGCACATCTCTGCACAGAGAACCTTCTGGAAGGAAACAGCCAAGTCAGGGCGCTGATGAAGGCGCGTCGCCGGCGCCTGGAGTTTGGTCTGCGACCCCCAAAGGAGGCATGGGGAGGATAGGCCCACTTTAACATTAATTTTATTTGCTTCATGACCCGTTCTGTTGAACCAGGGCAAAGAACCTTGGCATTAAAATCTGCAGACTAGAGTAACTGAGTTTCCGTTTCCTTTTCAGTAAAGTGGAGATTTAAATATCAAACGCACCCCCAAAAGCAAACAAAACGCGCACCATTAGCTAACTCACTGCGCTGTGCTGTTTAAAGAATGGTTATTAATCGCCTCATCGATTACCAAACATCCTATGAATGAAGGACCATATTATGATTATTCCTGGATGCGTGCCTAGGATTCAGACAGACAGCCCAGCAAAGGACAATTTTCTTGAAACATTTTTTTTAAACCCAGCTGACAGGTGAAGTATGTCACCCACACATGCCTCTGTCCTTCCCAACCAGATCACCCGCTGCTGGGTTCTCTCTGGGGTCAGGGGGACAGTTCTACCTTCCGAAAGAGGAGCTAGGTGCGGTGCTGAGTGGCAAGGGTAGGGGCAACGGAGTTTATTCCGGATTTCAGTCACTTCCAAGATCTCCCACCACTCGCGGGTTGCTGCCCACTAGTTCTGTTGCAAGACTCCGACCTTGTGTAGTTCGTAGTAAGCGGAAACGAACGACTCAAGTCTCAGCACAGACTCATCCCTTTGCTTTCGCCCTGGATTTCTCCACAGAGCTTCGGAGCTTCTGCGCGCCAGAGCGCGGCATTCCTGGGCACGCTCTAGCTCCGTGTGCCCCGCGCCCAACCTTGGTGCCCCCGCCTGTCCAGAGGGCCGCAGCTTAAAGCTGGTATGCAGAGGCCCCATTAACTTTCCTAGGCTGATGACTGTACCCCCAAGAGACAGAAGGTGGAGGAGAAGGAGGGGGAGGAGGAAGAGGAGGAGGAGAAAAGGAAGGAAGGAAGGAAGAAAACAAACAAACACGGGAAAAGGGAACGCTTGGCTGGCTGGGTCAAGTGGCTGTGGTCCGGTCTTGGCAGACCCTAGGGGTAGGCACGAGAGTACCTGTAGTAATCCTCCTTGCAGTAAATGCTGCCGTCCTTGGCGAAGCAGGTGAGCTCGGACTCGAGGGCCAGCTTACATTCACAGCACTTCAGGCACCTCAGGTGCCACTGCTTGTCCACCGCCAGCAGGTAGTACCTGTCCGAGATCTTGCCCCCACAGCCGGCGCACAGGGCGGGCTTCTCGGGGCTCAGCGGGGGCATGCCCTGCAAGGCAACCACAGGTATGGCTGAGGGCACGCGCACAGCGCAGGGATGGGGTCCCCTGGCCTTGCTAGCCCGCCAGCCACGGCACACAAGAACGCGTTTCCAGTGGGTGGCTCGCTCTTTTTCTGCCGTGGCTGTCTGAACCCACGTTCGTGTCCACCCGGGACCGCTAACTAAGGACCACGCGGCCCTCCCGAATCTCGCTTAACACGCGCTGGGCATGTAAGGACGCTACTTCGCTACTTCGCTGGGGGTGCTGGTCTTCTTTGAAATGTGGCAACCTAAAAACCGGCGGCTGACAGCGCACACAAAAGGAAACGATGGGAATGGGCCCTGGAGGGAGGCAAAGGAGATGGAGATGAGCAAAGCTTGTTTTGGAACGCGAACTCCCTCTTTACAATTGCAATTCGTAGAGGCAGCGTTGAAATTCAAAGGTCACTCTACCTGGGCTCATATTTTAGTCCACTCTGCTTCGATTGGGGTACATTTGACAGGCCGCGGTGGTCCCTACTTTTCAGGGCTATCGGGTTTCGTTTGTTTGCTTTTTATCCACCACCACCCCCGAAACTGTCGCTCCCAGGAAGAGCCAGGCTTCTCTGAACAGCCCCTCACCAACACCCACGAGAGGTTTTCACCCTGAATATCTGCTTAGCTACTGCCCCCAAGCCAAGCTTCCCTCCCGGGTCCCCACCTGCCGGGCCCAGGATGTGAAAATTTCATTCCCCAGAACCCAGCCCAGCCCCCAAAATGCAGATTTCGGTGTTGCTTTTTGTCTTTACACAGAATAACAGCCAAAGAGAAAAAGAAGTTAACCAAGGGAGATTTCCCTCAACACTAGCAGAAACGGGTGGGGCGTCCCCCTGAAGAATGAAGGCAAGATTCGCCCTTTCCTGGGAAGAGGACCCTGGGACAGGTCCAGCCATCGGCCCCTTGGCAGGACTTGGCCGCCCGCCGCCCGGGCTGAGGCAGGCGCCTGGTTAGTTGGACCCTCGGGTTCCCGGCAGGAGGCCAACGGACCTACACTGCTCTGTTTGGCTGCAATCATTTCTGGAGGTTTTGGTGTTTTCCCCCTCTGGTCCGTCCTTGGGAGGAGAAGCACCTAGATTCCTCTCCTTCTTTTTAAGAGGACATCGCTTTTTATTAACTATGAAGTGTAGTAACACTGAAAGGCTTAGAAAAAGTTCTGGTGCTTGGGTTGGGTCTGCCCTCCTAGGGCTTGTCTGCGGTTCGAGTTCCTCCTACAAGAACCCCCGCCCCAGGCGCTCCGGTGCTGCCCGGGAGGCCACGCCGCGCTGGCCGGGCCTGGCGAAGTCTCGGACTTTCAGGGTGCCGGGCACCAGGACCGCGGAAATGCGAAGGTGGTTCCGTTGCGCCCGACTCCACCCCGAAATCAGGTCCTCAAACCCGGAGCCCGGGGTCCCGAGCGCCGCCCTCCCGGGGCCTGCGCCTAGCTCGCCCGCCTCGCTTCCCACCCTCGCTGGGAAGGCGCTCGGAGCTCTAGGGGGCACGGGAACCGAAGTGTGGGGTCTGCGGACCAGGACGTCCCCGGCCCGCTCCTCCTCCAGCTCAGGAACAGCTAGATCCGACGATAGGGCGCCCTTGACATTTCAGAGAGGGGGCTCTGGCTCAGCCTCGCAGACCTAGCAGGCCTGCCCTCCTCCCCACCGCGCGCGAGCCTGCAGCTGGTGTCCCCCGAGCCCACCGCCCCGACCCCCGACCCCCGCCAGCCGGGGACCCCGGCCCGCCGGCCGCCTCTGCGGGCCACTGTCTTACCGCGTCGCGGCCGTTGAGCTGGGCGCCTTTGGCCAGGCGAGCCTCGGTCTTGGATCTGCGCTCCATCTCTTCCATGATGCCTTGGATGTGGCCTCCGGAGATGCCGTGAAAGAGCATGGCTGGGGGACGGAAGGGACACGACTTGTCTTCGGCTCGGCACCCTACTATTTCCATATACACGCGCCCGCGGCTGGGCTCTCAGCTCATGCGAGGGACGCGACTGCCGAGGGCTGCGCGGCGGCGGACCGCTCCGGGACCCGGCAGCCGAGGGAGAGGCGAGGAGAGAGGGAAGGCTAAAGAGGCGGAGAGAGTGGCCGCAGAGCTGCTGACCCGCAGAAGAAGAAGGAGAAGAAGAAGAAGAAAGAAGCCCCAGCGGGTCCCCGAAGGAGCTGTGCAGCAAACAAACAAACACGGGCGGAGGGGGACGCAGGCGAAGGAGGCGACTCGCGCTGCCCCGGAGAGCTCGGGTTACTAATGGGAAACAACTGCCGCGGGAGGGGGGGGGAGAAAAAACAAAATCGGGCGAAGAAAGAAAATAGTTTTGAACACAAAGAGAGAAAAAGAAGTGCTAGTTGCTGCGGTCCCTGGCTGCTTGCAAGTTCCCAGTGCCTGTGGGCTGGGTTGGGGACTGCTCCTGCTGGAGCTGGGTCCAATTTGTTAAGAGACTAAAGCCAGCCCATTTTTGATAATTTAGTAGGAGGAGTTCTCTCCCCGGAGCTGCCACGGATTTTTATTCAGACAACAAAGACCTGTCATACTCCTCTCAACCCCCTGGTGATGGGCAAGCGGGGACAAACATTACAGGGGGGGGGAGGGTGAAGATACTGGGGAGGGAGGGGTGAGGGTCTTTACCTCCCCCCAACACACACACACACACACACACACACACACACACATCCTTCCAAGAGTTCCCAGTGGTCACGTTTTAAAGGAGAAAAGGAGCTCTTATTGTCCCTGCCCTGGAGCTGGAGGCCCAGATGGTTTCCAAAGTCCATGTTCAAGACTAAATCCGAGCTCGGCCCACAGAATGTTAGCTCCAACTTCAGGCTCCCTCTTCCTCGACTTTCTGGTCCTCAGTGACTCTAAATGAAACCTCAAATTTTGAGGCCAACATTCAGGCGCACCACTGAAGCCGAAATTAAGGCTCGTCCCCTCTTCAACTCACTTACCAAGGTCGGACTGCCACTTCACTTCTCCGACCCCTCACCTCCTGGGGTCGGAGACCCTATTTCTTAGGCACTGGATTCTCCCCCAAGAAGAAAGCCCTTTTGGAGAGTCTATTCCTCAAGGTTGTTGGCCGCGGGAGGGGTGGGGAGGGAGGGCTCTATTTTCTTCTACAAAGTCGGGGTTAAGGGACAGGTCGTGGATTTGAAGACACGATGTGTAACCAAACGGAGACCATCGGGGGATTTATTCTCTTACCCCAGTTCAGATTTGAAGGCGATTCTAGGGTCCAGTCTGAAACTTGTCAACGAGGGCAGCGGCTCCAGGAGGTGGGCTTTGGCCCCCGCGGGACTAAGTGCTCTCGGCATGGCTGCCGCCCGCCCCCTACTGCCCCGGCCCCGGGAGCCCAGCACCCGTTACCGGTGGGAACGGGGCTCCTGGCGGTGCAGGAGCTGGAGGGGGAAGCTGGCGACCCAAGCGGCGGACCCGCGCGTCACAAGAGGTGGAATTGTTCTGTGTCCCCCCCGCCACACACACACTCCGTTCCCTTTAGCGGCAGCCCCTCCCCCGACCTTGAAAAAGTGTCTACAATGTTTCAATATTGTCGATTCATTCAAATGGTCACGGGCCCTCGAGGGGCCCCGAACCTGGAGTGACGGCGGTGAACCACCGGCTTTGGTGGGAGTGAGCAAGACTCCGGGGGCCTTTGCTGCAGCCCGCTCTTCCGCCGTCCTCCGCTCGCACCGCTCCCGCAGCCGTCCCGGGCCAGAGACGTCTGGGGTCCCTCTGCGGGCGGCGCCGCAGGCCCACCCTCCTTCGCCCGGGGGAGCCCCACTAGAAAAGGCGGCCAACTCCAGAAGGATGAAAAGAGAGAAAAGGAAGTGGGGGAGGAAAGAAGGTTGAAGGGAGAAGAGAGAATGTGAAGGGGAGAGAAAGAGGAGAGGACAGTAGAGGGGAGAGAAAGGAAGGGGGGATGGAAGGAGGGAGGAAGCCATCCTTGGTGCGTAAGTCTGACTTCCTGTCCCCAACCAGCAGCCTCTGAGAGGGCTCCAGGCGCCTTTTCCCTGAAACCCAAGATTCCAATGCTTCCCCCAAGCTTTGTTTCCCCCGCAGGGGCGAAAATAATGTTATTTGCAGACTGTGGGCTGTTAGGTACTCCGGGTGCCAAAAGACAGATCATAAAACACAATTTCACACAAAAAGTGAAACCAATCAAGTGAACTAAGCTGGAGTCACCCCCCACCCCTTGGCAGCCCTACTGGACAGCAGGGTTGCTATTTACTGTAAGTAATATAATTAGCCCCTTCGGATGGAAATCAATGAGCTTTTCAAACCCACGCACAACAGCCTACACACCGAAGGGCCCCTCAGGAAGGGTTAGGGCAAGCGGCCCTTTCCGGGACAGCAGGTTCTTTTACAAAGGGGCAGACTGCCTTCCCGAGTGTCAACGGCTGAAAAGGCCTAGAGCTGAGAAGGCGGCGAAAAAGGAGGAGGGGTCTCTAAGAAGACTATCCTTCCGCTAAGGCAGAGAAGCGCCAAAGAAAAATCACAAATACGGTATCCTGAATCCTTTCGTCTCTGAGTTGAATCCTCTTTTCCCCAAGTGAGGTGGTGGGCATGGGGCTTGGTTGTTGTTGATTTGGGGAGTGATGGGGGGCGTCCTAGTGCGGCAAAAAACAACAAAAAAGCAACCAGGAGCACACTCCCTCCTTACAAGAGCCGAAAACTTTAGGCACTCCATGTAGAAAAAGTCAACAAACGAGCCCATGAACGAGCCAGAATTTTGTGAGTTGTCTCCAGGACAGCCAAGCACCTAAGCACCAGAGGCCAAGCACCCGAACACCAGAGCCCTATAAACCCCTGAATGATTCATTCTTTCATCGATTGAACATATATCTGTTCATCATCTATCAGCCACAGCCCTTCCTGCAATCAGCAGCTGGTTGGATCCCAGCTACGCCTGGTTTTGCCTATAAAACTCAGGTTATAAGTTTCTGCATCGGTGGGATCTACTACTTCCTCTAAAGAAGCAACTGCCAAGATTCTTCATTCTCAGTGACTGCAGGAAGTGCAGAAAGCTGAAGGAGGAGGGGGGTGCTGGAGTTTGGGAGGTTCTAGTGAGTCCAGAAATCGCTCACCATTCCTTTAGCCCTACCTCCTCTCACAGTTCCTAAAGAGGAAGGAGAGGGGAGTTGTTCTGCAAAGTGGGTGTTTATCCTGGGATGTCCTAAGCAAGCCTCAGGACGCCTTGCTCTCAAAAGACAATAAGCACTTTCCAGTGCAGAGCACCTTTGTAGCGCCTTGTTCTTTCCCTTTCCCTCTGCTGGGGCTGCGGCCAGAGGCCTGCGGACAGGAAGCGCTCCCTGGTCTCCGGGCTAAGAGCTGAATGGGCCAGAGCTAAATGGGCCTCCAGTGCCCTATAAAAGTTGGAGTGCCTGCGTTTTCAGTTCCTGGCGCTGAGCAACCGCTCCCCCTTCATCCTTGGGGCAGGTGCAGGAGGTTCTTCTCAGCCTGAGACCTCAGAGGAGAGGGTCTGGGACAGATCTATGACCCTGAGCTGCCTTCTCTCTCCATTGGGCACATAAAATCCATTAAGCTCGCTTTACTTTTTGCTTGCCAACTCTTCTTTGGCTACCGTCACTTTCAAGAATGCACGGGAGTGGACTCCATGGAGTAGAGAAAGTGATGACGGTGGTTGTGGTCTGGGTGAAGCACATCTGGCAAGCCCCCTGGGGCAGAGTCCAGGTCCAATGAACTCCCGGGAGGAGAGGAAGCCGAAGAGCCAGGGGGTAAGGGCTGCAACCCCTTGCCCAGAGGGCGCCAAAGGCTTTAAAGGTGAGAAAGGAAGCACACCAGCTAGCCTGCATGTTGGTGTGCATAAGCGCACAGGTGATTTAAGGTCTCTTTAGACCTGAATTTTGGAGACAGAGACTCTCCAACCCGAACCTCCCCAGCCCCGCCCTTCGCCCCTTCATTCCACTCCACTTGCGAGTTTACCCTTAAGGGGCAGAGGTCACCATTTCTCCAGATCCTATTAAGCTGGTTCAGAGAGGTGCAGGTTGGGGACTGGGGACTGGTTTTAGGCACTGGAATGAGCACCCCAGGGCCGCAGGGAAGTCGGCAGCATCTTGGAACTGAAAGTCCCGCGCTCCTAGCGGTCCCTCCATACCCCCGGATGCGCCCCTGCGTGAGGTAGGACCTAAGCTATGGCCCCGGGGCGTTCAGGATTCTCTTATGATGGCAGAAACCCGGATTCTCTCTGGACAAACCTTCCTCCCTCCGCCCCCGGAGGTGGAGTGTGCGCACTTGGGATTCTGTCCCTTCTTGGTGGCCAGGGGGCAATGGAGCTACCTGGCTACCTGAGCTGAGACCTGGGGGGTGGGAGTGGGGGCCGCAAAGGGCAGGTGGCTGCATCCTGCAGCGCACCTGACCAACAGCTCAGCGAGTTCGGCTCCCGGACCAGGGCGCTGTCCGCCTGCGCGCTGGGCGCCCACCCGCACTTCCCGTCCCCAGCGGGCGCCCTGCAAGCCTTGGGGGTTCCCGCCCCAGGTCGCAGGAAGCAGCCGCTGGGTTTAGAAGAGCCCACTGCGGGACAGCCCTGCCACCCCTGGCCAAACCAGACCGGCCCCGCGAGGCGACCTTCGAGCTCAAGCGCAGACACCGCCGCGCGGGGTTTGGATGGAACAAAAACACCGGAAGGCAGCCGGTCGCCAGGGAAAGCCCACGGGGGCGAGAAACGGTGACTGGCTCTCCCTCCCTGGCCCACCCAGAGAGGAGACCCCCGCGCCCAGCCTCCCGCCTCAGGTGGCCCCCCGGGCTCGGGGACCTCCGCCCACGCTGAGGCCCCGGGTCCCGAGACAGATCAAAGACACTCGGAAGAAAGGCCCAAGGTAGGGACCCCACGTTTCAGAAATCCTGTCCCGACGTGACACTCCAGGAGACCGCTGGTTTTCAAGCGGAGAAGCACTGTACCTTTTGTAAGCTACACCCCAATACGACGATCCTTTCGC